TTCGGTATTTTAATGATTTTAGCGACGTTATTTACAGTGATTGTTTCAATTTTCGTCGAATAAGCATTCGATATTTTTAAGATTTTAACAGAATTTTTAACGGGTTTTATTTTTTGGAAATTGCCAAATTTGTGGAGGGTATTAAAAGTTCGGCCCGGCCGAACTTACAGCTTTTTTACTTGTTTAGCTCCTTAGAACGTAAAATGTCAAATAACATTACAATCTGGTGTAGAAATGTGACAAGAATTGGGCAAATAACCCTTATTCGGGAGGTACGTTATATGGGGACCATGCCAAAACATGCATCGACCATATCTATTTTGTAACATTTTTTATATTTATCCCATCAAGGTACCATAACCAAAGACTCATATTGATATCTGCACTGAAAGTATTTTTGGCCGCTGTTCCCATACGACCTCGACCACTGTGCATTGGACACGTCCTGGAACACGTCGTGTATTCGATACACCTTACACATACCACTTTCTCGTCACAAAGGTATTGCTACCATTCATTACACAAGAATTTGTCCTAATTTTGGTGCGATTTTTTTTACATTTTAAAACATATCATGCATCACAAATCCAGAAAAAACGCGGCTCTCACCATGAAAGTTTCAGAATGTTTAACTCACACAAAATTGGTGTAATGTGTGTTACTGAAACGCCTTTAATGTACACAAAATGAATGCCAGAATAGAGGTTCAGTTCTTGTTGTGTGAAAATGAGAAATAAAACAAGTTAAAAAGCAGTAAGTTCGGCCGGGCCGAAATTTTAATACCCTCCACCATTTGCAACGAATTTGGAAATTTTCAAAAAATAAAATCCTTAAAAAATTGTGTTAAAATTTTGAAAATACCGAATATAGCCGTTATTTTGGGGTCTATACGACGTGGGCATACATAGGCATTGTTTCTCATAAGCCATTACCATATTCAAATTCGAAACTTGAAATAAACGGTGAATAATGTAGCTAAAATCATCAAAATACCGAATATAGGGAGGTACCGTTATATGGGGGCTATCCGAAGACCTGGCCCCGCACAGACAATTTTCTGTCACAGACTGTAGTTCCCATAACGAACATCAAATACCAATTTTAAAACAATTCCGGTGAATAATGTCGCTAAAATCATCAAAATACCGAATATAGGGAGGTACCGTTATATGGGGGCTATATGAAGACGTGGACCTGCACAGACAATTTTCTGTCTTAGGGTGTAGTATCCATTTTGAACTTCAAATACCAAATTTGAAACAATTCCCGTGAATAATGTCGCTAAAATCATCAATATACCGAATATCGGGAGGTACCGTTATATGGGGGCTATAAGAAGACGTGGACCTGCACGGATAATTTTCCGTCTTAGGGTGTAGTATCCATTTTGAACTTCAAATACCAAATTTGAAACAATTCCCGTGAATAATGTCGCTAAAATCATCAAAATACCGAATATAGGGAGGTACCGTTATATGGGGGCTATATGAAAACGTGGACCTACATAGCCCATTTACAAACTTAACCTGCCTACTGGAAAAATAAACATGTGTGCAAAATTTTAGCCAACTATCTCAATTCATTCGAAAGATAGCGTGATTACAACAGACAGACAGACAGACGGACAGACAGACGGACAGACAGACGGACAGACAGACAGACAGACGGACATCGCTAAATCGACTTAGAATTTTACGCTGATCAAGAATATATATACTTTGTTGGGTCTGATATGAGTATTTCGAGGAGTTACAAACGGAATGACAAAGTTAATATACCCTCCATAGTATGGTGGAGGGTATAACAAGTAAAAACGCAGTAAATACCCTTGCAAGAATTAGCAACTTTAAAAAAATGCCTTTGGCGGGGCCGATTATAGGGGTGAGATAAAAAACTGCAACAAAGTCAAACGTCATAATTTTTATTTTTTTTAATTTTATTGATCGAATGCTCAAAATGCATCAAATTTTAGAATACGTTTAGATTTGCTCGAATTGGTCACCTTTGACACAATTTACAGTCTTCAAACGGCCAGTGAAACCGTCACACGCTGCCCGAATGTTGCTCCGCGGTATTTTGGCCCACTCCCGGCGAAGCGCTTGCTTGAGGTGATCGACACTTTGGTATTTTTATACCCTCCACCTAAGATAGGAGGGTATATTAACTTTGTCATTCCGTTTGTAACATCCTTAAATATTCGTCGTAGACCTCAAAAAGTATATATATATTCATTATCAACATAAAATTCTAAGTCGATTTAAAATTTAACAGAGCAATTTGTATTGTATTTAGGATGGTTGGTATTGAAAATGAGACATATCGGTCCACGTTTTAGTATAGTCCCCATATAACGGTACCTACCGATATTCGTTATTTTGATGATTTTTGCCACACTTTTCACGGATTTGTCTGATAATTGGTATTTGGAGGTCATAATGGGTCCTAGTTCGTGTGGCGAAACATTGTTTGTGTATGTCCACGCTTTGGTATAGCCCCCATAAAACAGTACCTCCCGATATTCGGCATTATCATGATTTTTGCCACATTTCTTCGCGAATTTGTCTAAAAATTGGTATTTGTGGGTTCTCTCTCCTTTGGCGACACATTGCATGCATAGGTCCACGTTTTTGTATACCGATATTCGGTATTTTGATGATTTTTGGCACATTTTCCCATGAATACGTCATTGGTATTTGTGGATCATAATGGGTTCCAATGTTTCCTTTACCCTAAGGTGGACGGTATTAAAAGTTCGGCCCGGCCGAACTTATTGTTCGCTTGAAATGAAGCGAGGAACCTCATTTAGTAATCATTCTTGGTGGCGCACGCTGAGTGCGACTGTGCTGAGTCCTGTTGCAATGTCCAAGGTTTAGGGCCAAAATGTTTGCGTACCCAAGGTTTTAATACACCCTCCAAATTGTTTTCGCGATAATATTCGGCATTTATTCTGATCGGTCGATTAAGGCAAGCGGGGAACGACCATCTGCTGTTATAGCGGCCCACACCATCACCATGGCCGGAGAAAACCGAATTCGGCTCTTCAAAACTTTCGGTCAAGCAAATCGAATCTTTAGCTCTTTTGAGTCTATTTTCTTTCTGTTGCGCTGTAAGTTCTTGAACTTCTTTACTTTTCGAACCATTTCTTCTGATACTGCTGTTTTCTTTCGTCCACTTCCTTGACGTCGGGCTACGCCACCAGCATCACTGTAACAAGCGATGGTACGAGACACAAAAGATTTATTCACATTTAAATGCTGGAATGCTCTAACGGTAGCCACTTGGGTTTTGCAGCCAAATATAAAGAAATCACACTATCACGCTTGAATTCCATCAAGCGTACGCTTGTAAAAAATATAATGAGTTGTCACTGGAATAATTTTAACAGCTGTCGAACGAGTGGCTTAGAATTGACTGCAGTTTGAAGTTGGTTGCAGTTTTTCATCTCACCCTGTATAGACCCTACAGCACTATGCATATTTAGCAGAGCTCCCGTAACAAAATAATTTATCTGCAGTAGATCATACCACCTATCAACATTTGGCTTTAGAGCAGTTATAATTTGGATTCAGTGGGAACTAATATATCAAATTTTGAATAAATTTTCACTAAATTTGACGGAGACATTTTAGTCTTTTATACCAAGTAACATTGCTATAGAGTGCATGATATCAGTTCGAGAAGTTTTATGTTAAAGAAATATATATCGGAACCTCGTTCCACAAAATGGAAACATGAGTTCCGATATTCACTCCATTTGGGCTAATATTAGCCATTATTTGCACAATAAACCTTAAATTGGATTAATGTTATATATGGCAGCTATATCCAATCGTAGCCGTTCTCAATAAAATTTTGCAAAGGTATTTCCGAGCTCTATAAGATATCTGGTACCAAATATCATTTTAATGTGGTGCAGAATACGAATGTGAGGGACTTAAACACCAAATCGGATTTGGTTTGATGTACTTGCTTCTAGATTGAATTCGGTTAGATGTGGCAAAGTTCAGATCATTTGGACTTATATTGGTCATTTGGTGCACACATACCCGAAATCCTTTTTAAGATATATGGGAGCTATATCTAAATCTTACCAATTTCATCTCACCAATTTAATTAGGGTTCGTCCTCGGACCAAACAAATATTCTTTGCAAAATTTCATCTCATTCGGATAACAAATGCGACCTGCATTTTGTTCACAAGAATACATGGAACTTATTTTTTAATAGTTATGGCCATTTTAAAATATTCAATAGTTCATGTATTAAAAAGTGACCACAAATAGTAGCTAAAAACGCTGAAACCACAATATTTAGGGAATTATGGCCAATTTAAAATATTCAAAAAATCAATGCTCATAACTAAATAACTGATCACACATAATAGCTAAAAACGCCAAAAACTCAATATTTAGGGAGTTATGGCCATTTTAAAATTTCAATAACTCATGCCTAAATAACTAATCACAAATAAGAGCTTAAAACACTGAAAAATTGATATTTAAGGATTTATTGTCATTTTAAAATATTTAATAATTCATGCCTAAATAAGTGATCACAAATAATAGCCGAAAAATCAATGTTTAAGGAGATAATTATTTTAAAATATTAATAATAACTGCTTACAAATAATTGTAAAAAACACCGAAGACTTCTTATTCATGCCGAAAAAACTGATCACAAATAATAGCTTAAACCCAATTTTTATTATTTAAGGATTTGTAATGAGCTGCAAACAGTACAAAATAAAAAACAAATTCATATTTTGTTCGTTTCGTACTTTGAGAAAATAACTAAAGAATCGATTGCAAACATTTCATATAGTTTATTTTTGTACTTAGATAATCTCTTTATCATTATGTAGACCAACAATGTAAACGCGGTTAGGAGCAATGTAAACGCGGTATTTGGAAAATTCACATCAATTTAACGCGCAACGCGTCAATTGCAATCGTTTGACATGACTATCTCGTGTGCCCTAACTCATGCGACCCTGTTGGCTGTGTTCAGTGAGTAAAACTTAAAGTGGCAGATGAATATTGGCGCAAAACAAAAATAACAAAAACAAATTGCCAAAGAATATAACAATAACAACAAATGATGGTATATTGGTGATTTTGGCAAACAGCAACAAAACAAATTTTCCTTAAGCAACTTCGGGGCTCAAATTTTCCTTAATATAACTATTTTTGTTTGCTGTTGAGCCTAGTTTTGCTGTTAATAGTTTAATCGTCTCCATTGTCTAATGTCTTTAGAATTAAGTGATCATAATTAAATAAAGTGCAAAAATGTTGAATTTAAATTGTGTGATCTGTGCGGAACTCTTTACCCAGTCCGATGACGTACATGTAACCACTTGTGGGCACATGTTTCACTTTCTCTGTCTGAAGCAGTGGTTGGAAAGGTAATTGGCAACTGTCGTTGGACACTTGGAAATGTATTAGACTATAATTTGTTTTTCTTTTCAGATCAAAAACCTGTCCCCAGTGCCGTAATAAATGTTCTGATCGCAATATATTTCGCGTTTATTTCAATTTAGCCAATTTGGATGTCAGTCGTATTGATGTTGGTTCACTGCAGGATCAGTTGGACAATGCAAATCTACAATTGAAAATGAAAGAGAAAGAATTGAACAAAGCAGAAGAACAAATCAAAAGTGCCAAGGAAACACAGAAGAAATGCATGTAAGTTGTCTTCCACTTAACTTCTCGCACATATTTATTCTCGCGGATGTAGCTTCGTTCTACGTTTTACAATGTGCTTCTTCATCAAGTATATTGTTTTGGGGTCATTTTTGCTGAAAACACAATTTACAGCTGTGACGTCACGAAAAAATACTTTCTGGTTCATTTACCTCAATTGCTTAGGCCAACAACGATAGCTTATCTTTGAAGGTGAAGCGATTTCTGTTACATTTTAAATGAAAAAGTTCTCTCTCGTTCTTTTGTTTTCATTTGCCATCGTACGCCGTGACCTGTTTTACCAACTACTTGACCTTGGCATTGATTTTATTACTAGAGTCTTGTAACTGGTTGACATAAAAAATAAGTTGTTCATGTAAAGTAATTCAGTCATTTATTGTAATTAGAACGACTTTTATATTTCATTACTATAGGGCTAATCCAGAACCTGCAAGAATCTCCAAGCTTTGCAATTTTTTTCGATATCATAAAGGCAAAATCGGTTATCATAGTTAAAAATTGCATATTCTTGCAGTTCTGGAACATACCATATTATGTATTTAATACTAAACATGATACTGATATCATTTGCTGCAAGCCAAAATTGTAATATTTTTCATATGGTTCTGAGTGAAATCCAAGACTGTCTTAAAATAGCATACAATACCTTTATATTCAGTAGATGTAGATAATCGTTGTCCATTATTTCGTTCTAACTTTAATTAATAATTTTCTTCCAGGAAAACAATTGCCGGCTTAGAAAAAGAAGTGAAAAGCAACAATTTTGTCGTGCTCAATTATGTTGAAAAGGTAGGTAAACACCACAAGAAATGCTAATTGATATTAAAATAGATAATATTCTTACATATTTCAGATTAAAGTCTTACAAAACCAAGTCAAAACTATGGATAGCCTTCGAGATGAGGTGACTAGTTTGAAAGCACAAATTGAATCATTAAATGGTATCAACACACTACTTACAGCTTCAACGGCTGATGCCGAGAAACTACTCAAAACTGAAAGTGATCCAAAGGTATTATCTGTGTGTATAGCAACGTTAAAGAGGTAATTACTGTTTAAAACATGCAATAATATTGATTTTTAATCATTAAATTTTTAATATTGTAGAGAATTGCGAGTTTGTGAACACAAAAAGGCGGATATCCGCAATCAATTAAAAGCCGTTCAAAATGACTTACGCAAAGAACGTGATATTAACAAGTAAGTTTTATTTAAATTAGATATTTATTGTTATGTTTTTTACTACCGATTTCTGATGTTTTAGAAGTCATGAAGAGCGCATATCCCAACTTGAAAGCGAAAACTACAATCTTTTGGAAAAGGTAAGGTAGTCTGCAATTGTATTTGCAATACATTTCCTATAACTCATTTTTCTGGATATGAATTGTAGTGATTTTGCTGTAACATTTAATTAATTTTGAAAGCATCACAAAAGTTGACATTTGCTGTAATTTTGGTTCTTACGTTCTTAAAAATGTATTATAGTTAGTTTTCCCGTTTCTTTCAATCAAAATACACTTTAGAAGTTAAATAGAAACAACTTATTTCTCTAATAATTAGTAATACTAAAAATTTAGTCACGTTCCATTTACTCCGTGGATATGAAACCTTTTACGAATTTTAAATGACATCATACAGGTTCACCACTTAATTAGTCCCAAATAAAAACCCTTAATTTACTTTGAATTTAAATTAAACGGATTAACTTTTTTCAGATAAAGTCATTAGAGGCTACTGGCAGCTCCAAAGAATCAAAATCCAACTCCAATGGTTTGGATAATTTGCACAAAACTCCGTTTGGTAAAGTGAAAGAAGAAAAACGCTATACCATATCTCCTACCATCGTAAGTTTGATAAACTTCATTTATGTTTTATTTAAGAAATATTTGCCACAATTTATTTGCAGAAAGAGAATATAAAAAAGATTGAGGAATCCTCATCCCCGTATCTTAATATCAAATCTAGTAGCGTGGGTTTGGTGCCGCTCTTCAAGCGTAATCTCGACAATCCCGCAAAACCACCCGAAGTTGGACCCAAAGTGACAACAGCCAAGATAACAACGCTTAAAATTTCGCCTAGCAAAACAGCGGGTGCTGTGCGAAAAGCCAAAAGTGATTTGGGTGAAAAAGTAAGAATCTTTATCATAAAGGAAAAAAGGACGATATTAAATATTTGGTTGTTTATATTATTTTACAGTACTCAATATTTAAGAAACCACGAATGGGACTGTCGGCAGCGGCTGGCGCTGGTGCCAAAACATCTTCAATGAAACCATTGGGACCTAATTTTGTATTTAATGGTTTTGGTGGCTCTGAGCGTGTAGATCCCTTCGCGGAAAATTCCGACGATAGTGACGTAATAGAGATTGATCCGAAGGCATCAGAAACCGAGAGCACAGTACCTTCCACAAAACTAAGCATTCACAATCGTCTTAAAACTGGGGGATTACGCAATTTTAAACTGACCAAATAACTAGGAATTTTTATCATATTTTCTTTTTTGTAACAAATAAAAATACTTATTTTGTTTCTTATAGAAATATTTATAGTTTTTTAAGTAGAAAATCTCATAAATAAAATTATATTAGTTTTTGAAAAAAAATTGCCCAATTGTTCCAATAATATATTTTCTTTGGCTACTATTATTTGGCTTATATTAATCGCTGATATTTAAAACTGTAAAAATAAAAGCATGCATTTCATTTTTTATAGAAACTATTCATATATTTCTGTATACAAATGTTTATAAGATATTATTAAAGATATATAAAAGCCTTCTGTAAAAATATATTAGCCAAATGTATGCATTGTTAATTATGTGGTATCATGAAAACATATTTTCAATTATTTTTCTGTGAAGGATGTTAATTACTAAATGGTTATTCAAAGCAGTTTGGAGTTTATACGCCAGCAAAGTATCCATCGTCTTAATAACCGTATTATTGGCAGTGTCTCTGCTCTCTTCTCTAGTTTTTCTATATTTCAAGTAATTTTTGGACATCACCAAATTGATTGTTTTCCTCGGGCCCATTCAATCATTTGAGAATTTTCTTTTCGGCAGTACCAGTCCATTCTTCTTTCAGCTCAACTTTGCAGCCCAAGTCACGCAATGCTGCCTTTATATCAGTGACAACAGATGGATGTTCTACCATGGCAGCATTCAAGACATCCTCAACGCCGTATGAAAGCCAAGTATCACATTGTTCTCTTGAACGTGAAACCATATTACGTATAGCCCAAGCACCATTACGCTGATATTAATAAAGTTATCTTTAATTGAATATTTTGTTTTTTTTTTATTTTCACTTCAAATTTACCTGCACAATTTTACTCTTTGGATGACTTCGTACAGCTTCAACGATAGTCTCTGCAATGCCGGTGTCAAAAAATGTCTTGCTATTGTCTTTTACGCGCAATGTTAATGTAGAAATACATGCTAAGGCAGCACTTACGACGTTCTCGTTAGCCTAAAATGGTATTGTTATAACAGGATTTTACAATTTTCAAAACATTAAATTTATACCATATGTGTATGGATGACTTCTTTGAGAATAGGTGCAATTCCTCCTTGAACGATGTGGCTTTTAACGGCATCATGTCCGGCCAAGGCACGTAGGAGTTTAAGAGCTTCTCGATTTAAACGGACAGAATTGATATTATCACTCTGAAATAGAAAGTAATCGGTTATTACAAAATTATCAGCTGTTCTGTAGTCCTAACATTGTATTTCCTAACCCGCGATTGTTAAAACGATATGTATGGGTAGACAAACAGACAATATAGATTTAGAAGGACATTATTCTTAAGTTTAGTTAATTTACAAGATACTGTAAATAATCATAAGAAAGTTGTGCCAGGAAGAAAGGATGACTTAAAACGGGTTTTAATTTTTGTTAACCCAAACAATCGGTTAATCGATTCTACGATATTCAAAGCTCTTTAGATTGTATAAACATAAAAGTGTTCCATACTAAAAAATAATTATTATTTGCGGAGATCAGACACTTCTGATTTATCATACAAACTTTTTTAAAATATACAATTTTATGAAAGTTTCATTTTCATTACCATTGCTTGCAACACCAGTTTGATACAGCCTGCTTCATCAACAGCCACACAAAACTCTTGACGAACAGCCAGTGAACCAATCGTAAGCATTAAATCAGCCAAAATGTTAACATCCTGAAACTCGCCCAATAGTTGTGTCAGAGTTACAATGAACTCGCCAGCCAATTGACGGGCATGTTCATGGGCACAACCAAATTCAACTCGTATATCATCATCCAAAACCAAAAACCGTAGAACAGCCAAAACGTCACGCAACACTTTGCCATTTTCTTTCGATACATAAGGTTTCAAGTGTTTGACAATATCGGCTTTCATAATATTCTGACGATTAATTTCATGCATAAGACATGATTTCTGTAGCCATTGCAGCGTCAAGGAGACAACCTTTTCTTTGTCAGCAAACAGGTCGAGAAGAGCTTTCACGTATGTCATTGCTGTGGCATCAAATATATCTGGCTGAATGTGGTATATACTATTCAATGTCTTCAGAGCTGCCTCCAAGAGATCCGTTTCAGTTATTGCATCTGGCGTTTCCAACTGTTGCCCCAATATTTTCAAAATATATGTGTGGGTTTCGTGTTTTGCTGCCAACACTCGGTGTGGTATAGATTTTTGACATTCGGCATCAATGACCTTTAATAGTCCCATTAACTTTTCTTTGTCTGTGGATTTTTCATCTAAATACAACTTCAATTGTTCTATTGTTTCATTGAGAATAGGCTTTCCGGTATCAGCATTGATGTCCAAATCTTTAATTATGTTAGCCAAATTGATTCCCTTAAACAATAACAAAAAATATATATGAGTCATAAAGTCGTTGGAGTGTAAATTAGAAAAAAAATCATCGCACGGTCTAAACAACTGTTAACATCCATATACTTACTTGAGCTTCGAATTGTTTAATAGTTTCCTGTTTAGCCTCTTCGGGGTCCATTGAAAATTCGATGATATTCTCTTTGACGACATCATCGAAAGTTTCTTGCGAAATAACTTTGGCAGCCATTGCGGTTCTTTCACTTTCAAGTTTTCAAGTAACAAAGAAAAACTAAACTCTTCCCCTAAATTCTTAATGAAGTTGCACTCGCTGAACTCGCTACAACCCACACACGTCGTTTGAATGCACTTGCAACTATTATTAACACAGTCCTCTTTCTGGCACCTATTGAATATACTTCCAATGTATAGGTGTTTTAAATTTTACATTTGTTTGAATGCAGTATATTGTTAAATATGTTTTAATTTAGAATTTTTGAATTTTTTATAACAATTAGAAAAGCAGCAGAGACAGACTACAAAGCCGAACAGAAGAATATGTGGTGCTGACTAGCTCGACAAAAACATACTGTCGGTAGGATTGCCATGTGTCTATTTATTGAAACTTATGGTGGGAAAACAATTCTCGTGATCCAACACATAACGTATAAATTTTTTTATATCCTCCAAAATACATAGTATGAAGCATGGTAAAAGAATATATGAGACGCATCGACACATCTGCTGGGATAATGAACTGTGAAACTAATTTTGGAATTGAAAATGTTGAATGAAGAATTATTTAAATTTGTACAAATTGTTAAAAAGTGCATATTATAACAACCTTCGAACTACTTATATTTGAAAAGACATTTAAAATTTTTTGACATATCAATGTTCTCAAGATTTGATGCATCTACCTGTATTCTTCTATCATGGTATGGAGGGTACATTAAGTTTGTCATTCCGTTTGTAACTCATCGATATAATAATTTTAGTATATATATTCTTTATCAGCGTAAAATTCTAAGACAATTTAGCTCTGCCCGTCCTTCCGTCTGTTGTAATCACGCTAGAGTCAAAACAAATATAGATAAAAAGCTAAAATTTTGTACCGATCGGTCTTTTGTCTGCAAGCATGTCAAATTCGAAGATGGGATATATCGGTCCACGATATCGTATATCCTCCATATAACTGTACCTTCCGACATTCAGTATTTATCCGTTCATTTCAATTGTTTTTTAACTTAGATGTTGTCCAAAATTATTATTATTAAGCCGGTATTTAGTTTACTCCATTTACAATAATGCCCCATGAGAATATATCTTTAAATGGCTATATGTGGTAAACACAGACTAGATCCGAATTTAGGCAAGATTTCTTGCGACATGACTCAGTTGGTCGAAAAGAGGGGCAAGGGGAATGGAAATTGCTCGTACTGGCAATTTACCTTGTGTTTTTATTCTTATAGACAAACATTAATATCAATGACCGGAAAGGCAAAGACGAAAAACGAACATTTCCGAAAACGAATTGCCTTTATAAATGTATGAGATAAGTTCAAAAGGGAAAGGAACTAAATTTTTGTTCTATGAAAAATTGAATTGAAATGAGTATTAAGAAAACAAATGCCAAATCATAGCCCTACCTTGATATCATTGTACCATGGATCTGACCATGGTACAATGATATCAAGGTAGGGCTATGATACCATATGATTTTATTTTTTTTTTTTTATTTTCTTGGCTTAATATGTCATCTTTATTTGTTTATGTATGTGTTTTCTTTTCAATAACAAAAAACTGGTTCAGAAAATATTCAAATTCGGGTGTTTTCAAAATGTTTATTTCAACGTATGCATCGACAAAATCTAGAGTTTTTGTAGCGAAATAATCCTTTAGAGATATATAGTACATGATTTTGAAAGAAGTGTTAACCTTTCATTCAGTTATCGCGTTTTTCAATTATTTACTCAAATCAAATGCAACAAGTTGTTTGATTTTTTATTGTTTTGATACTAATTCTAACATTACAAGCCAAACAGGTAGACCTCTATACTTGCAATTTTTTCAAAGTTGGCCTACCTTCTCTTCATTGTACCATGATTGTTACTATTATAGATTCCATCTTGTGGAATAACCCCGAAATTTCATTCTTGTTTCGCGGGTTTTTCCCAATATAAGAATTTTGTTAAAAAAAAAATAAAAATAAACAAAGCCAGCTGGTGCGTATTTGAAAGTCTATTTGACACTATAAGACTCCACCGCAGAGTTGCATTTTGCTAGTTTCCTTAAAGTTGAGAAACCTGTCTTATTAAGCCATGGATGTAATAACCGGCCTTTATCAACTCCAATTTATGTATTTGAAAGTCTATTTGACACTATATTTAAAAGTCTATTTTACACTATAAGACTCCACCACAGAGTTGCATTTTTCTAGTTTCCTAGAAGTTGAGAAACCTTTCTTATTAAGCCATGGTCGTAATAACCGGCCTTTATCAACTCCAATTTCTTTTCGGTGCAAACATTCTTTAAAAGCACCATTACAGGTCCCTAATCATTATAGTGACTACCGTTTTTCTAACTGTGCCAACATCACAATGTACACTCGTAAACAACCATGCAAATGTCAAAGTCTGGTTGAGAAAGAAGAAGCAACAAATCTCTCGTGCATTATTCAAGTTAACTTTTTTAATTCGTCACATTAGTGAGACACGCAAATTTATATTTTGGTCAAATAAAGGCAAAGGATTAAACAACGGATTAATTAAACACCCAAATAATCGATTTGTAAATAATCTGTCAAAAAAAAAAAAAACATGGAAGACGATTGGGGTATGTTTCTAAAAGTGAAAGACAAACGAACACACATTCGAACCCACAGTTTTTCAACGCTCAAAGGAATTTACACTTCCATCTAGCAAAAAATATATGTGGCTGCCATGTGCTCTCTCTGATCGATGGCCACACACAAAAATATGAAACTTGTAACCTTGTTGGGAATGTAGAGATTGCGAAATTCCGTTCAGTACCAAATTTGTTACTTTTCGGATAAATATTATGCAAACGATTTTATGTTAATGTCGATGTGTCTGCAATATTAATACATATTGTATGTATTTTTGTGTTTCTAGAAAGTGCTGCACACAGACCTGTAGTTGTGATACCCGATAAAATAAATAAGTGGGCTGGTGAAGATGAAGAGGATGACATTAAGGTATGTGGTTATTGTGATTTGAAAAATTCCACCAACGCAGTGGATGAATTTTGTCAAGGAACTCCCCCTGCTTGGCTGCATTGCTGCCCAGATGACACGTGTATGCTTTTTAAGCAGCAATTCATTTGTGTGTTTTTTGTATTGTTGTCTGCTCTTGCGAGTGTGTGTGATTGTGCATGCACAGTCAGTAAGTGAAACCATGATACAAATTGCAATGCCAGAAATATGCTAAGGAGTAGGGCATAAGTTGAGTTTAGGGGCTATGCTTGGATTGACCTGAAAATTTTACCGCAGTTAGGTATTTGTAACCTGATTACGGCAATATAATTTTTTTGTGGGGGAAATACCCGGTTACCCGGTTATTCGACCCAAAAGTTCGGATACAACATCCGGTTTATATCCGGTTCTACGTAACCGATATCAATAAAATGGGTATCATTTGAAAGCTTATGAAAATACCTATCCAACAAGTGGTCATATGACGGGGTAACTGGAACCTGTTTCGGAGAAATTTAGGAAAATGTGCATTTTTGTATGAGTAATTTTTGAAAAACCCATAAAAACTCGAAAATGGACCCATTATAGGGTCTTAAAATCTATACACAATATTATAGCTAACACTATTGCCTTTCCAAAATGGTGTCATATGTGTTGATATCTTTTGTAGTTCCGAAGATATTGACTTTTAAAGTCGTTACTTATGAAAGCAGTTTGAGTGAACCCAAGTTTTGTGTCGGGTTTAACGTTCTTGTTAATCTGCTTTGTTTTTTATTTGGTGTTGTTAGAATATTATGGATCGCGTAGTCGGTGTTGGACATATCCCAGAGGAGAAAATCTTAAGCCCCGGCCGAAGGCCGGCTGCTTACAAAAATTACAATTTTTAGAAAAACTATGGATCGCGTAGCCGGTGTTGGACATACCCCAGAGGAGAAAATCTTAAGCCCCAGCCGAAGGCCGGCTACTTTCGAAAACTACAGTTTTTAGGAAACTATTGATCGCGTAGCCGGTGTTGGACATACCCCAGAGGAGAAAATCTTAAGCCCCGGCCGAAGGCCGGCTACTTACAAAAATTACAATTTTTAGAAAAACTATGGATCGCGTAGCTGGTGTTGGACATACCCTAGAGGAGAAAATCTTAAGCACCGACCGAAGGCCGGCTACTTACAAAAATTACAATTTTTAGAAAAACTATGGATCGCGTAGCTGGTGTTGGACATACCCTAGAGGAGAAAATCTTAAGCCCCGGCCGAAGGCCGGCTACTTACAAAAATTATAATTTTTAGAAAAACTATGGATCGCGTAGCCGGTGTTGGACATACCCTAGAGGAGAAAATCTTAAGCCCCGGCCGAAGGCCGGCTACTTACAAAATGTACAATTTTTAGAAAAACTATGGATCGCGTAGCCGGTGTTGGACATACCGCAGAGGAGAAAATCTTAAGCCCCGGCCGAAGGCCGGTTGCTTAAAAAAGCTATAAAGGTCAAAGTCAAATGCATCTAGACTGGAGAAAAATATAATTTAATGAATTCTATCTCTTATATCCACGGAACCACAAAAGATATCAACACATATGACACCATTTTGGAAAGGCAATAGTGTTAGCTATAATATAGTGTATAGATTTTAAGACCCTATAATGGGTCCATTTTCGAGTTTTTATAGGTTTTTCAAAAAGTACTCATACAAAAATGCAAATTTTCCTAAATTTCTCCGAAACCGGTTCCAGCAACCCCGTCATATGACCACTTGTTGGATAGGTATTTTCATAAGCTTTCAAATGATACCCATTTTATTGATATCGGTTACGTAGAACCGGATACAAACCGGATGTTGTATTCGAACTTTTGGGTCGAATAACCGTGTAACCGGGTATTTCCCCCACAAAAAAATTACATTGCCGTAATCAGGTTACAAATACCTACCTGCGGTAAAAATTTCAAAATGATCCGAGCATAGCCCCTAAACTCAACTTGCTCCAGGAGTAGAGTACCTAATAATGACTAACAATATTTTCTATTGACCTCTGCAGGACAGCTGGGAAGATGAAGAGGAGAAAAAAGATGAGGAGAAGGTTGAAGAACAACCAAAAGCACCTGTAAAAACAAAGCCTAGCAAAGCATTAAAAGCTAAATTGGCTGAACAGGAGGTGAGTATTTTGGAAAGGAGGCATTATGATTCTAGTCATATTTATAAAGTTTTTAAGCAATCTAGGTGCAATATTAAAATAGGGACAGCATTTTGGCTAGACCAAGTAGAAAAAGTGTAACTCATACCCCGCTGTAGCATAAATAAATTAGTAAATTAGTTCTGTTTCATGAAGCTTTAATATATTCTCCCTTGGCCAGATTCTACAAGAAAGAATGAAGTAAAAAAATGTCACCGCCTAATATGTATGAAAGTAAGAAAAATATATATATAAAGGCATACATTTATCTGGATAGTACTTCACGATGAATAAAAATGAAAAACTAATCTGCAAAATTAAAGAGAAAAGAATTGATATCATGTCATATTAGATTACTGAGCGGAATTATTGTGCTTGGGATATCGACTTTAGACCACATGAGATATTTGTTTGCAAAAGATAAGTTTCACTCTTATAAATAGCCCTGATTTACGGATATCATCGATTATAGGAATTTTGGCTCTCTTGTTAAGGCTTTCATATAGCAATTGAATTCATTTAATTTTATTTTCGTTTACAGAGACTGGCAGAAGAAGAGGAGGCCAAACGTATTGCCAATATGACACCAGAAGAGAAATTGGCTGAAAAATTACGCCTTCAAAAAATTCAGGAAGAATCCGATTTAAAGAGTGCCCTTGAAACATTTGGTGTACAAGATGTTGGTGGTGGCTTAGATGCATTCAATCCCAAAACTGAAGCTGAATTTAAAGAATTTGGAGCGACGCTTAGTTGGAAATTGTCACAATACAAAGAATCGCCACATTTCCCGCAATTTGTTGAAGATTTAGTACGCAGCATATGTGTTAATTGTGAGTATTCAAAACGAATATACCAATAGTGCGACTTTGCATTTATTTATAGTTTCAGTAATTAATAATTTTGTCGCTAAATTAATTACTAAACTACTATTCTTACAAATAATAACACAAAATACTTTTATAGTGCCTCTTACCGAATTGAAAAAACTTAAAATGAGCGTTGAAACATTGCACAGTGAAAAGGTGAAATTAGAAAAACAAAATGCCAAGAAACCCGCTTCCAAAACTAAGGGCAAGATCACACTGAAAAATGATAGCAATGTAAGTATAAAAAATAGACGTTAGATCGTTTTAATTTTTTTTAGAAAGTTGTTTAATAATTAATAGAAAACCTTTAAGAGCGAATAGCTTGAAATTTAAACGATAAGCCTCCATATCTGACTTCTCAAAATATAGAACTTTTTTCCAACACAAAAGTTTGTTTTTAAAAAAATGCATCTCTAGTTGTTAGCATTAGAATTTATCTTTCGTTTCGTGATATTATCTAACATTCTTACTTTTTATTTCAGGATATTGATACTTTCAAAAAATACGGCAACGATTACTCCACTTACGATGATTACGATGATTTCATGTAAATCATGGCTCCTATCATCTTTACTATTTAATTCTGCCTCCATGATTACTCCGACTCCATTACCGTGAATATTGTTGAGCTCCAAGAAGAAAATAATTCTCACCTGCGGAAATGTTAATTTGTTATCAGGTGTTCATATAAATTTTATAAAAATGAATATTTTAGCACACAGGAATTTAACTTGACGTTAAAAGCCATTAACAACAAACACAATATTTTTGTTTTGTTATATAATTTTTTATTTTTTGAAAAACAATAGATAAACAAAAACCAATAATAAAATAATAATATTCTTTTTTTTGATATTCACTTAAAAAGTAACAAGACAAATTGTAAATTAAAAAATGGAAATACAAGCATATGTATGTACAGAATATATAAAGATATACATGCATATGTGTTAAGCGTACATAGAACATCATTTACTTTTTTCGTGTTAATTATTTATGTAACGGTCGAAATGTACGAGTATTTTTACTTTTATGTGAATTATAATTTTTTTTTGTAAAAAAATATATTTATAATAGTAAAACTACAAATATGCAAATGAATGATTAATGGATCTATGGTATTACGGAACAACAAATGTGTTTTATGATGATATTATGTACGATGAGTATGTTTATCAGGCAGGTAACCACATCTATGAGATTAGGTTCAATTTTGCTCAAAATATAATTTAAGCGTCAACTTATTGCAACTCTTATCTAGGCGTCACTGTAAAACAAAACAAGGTCAATTATGCAATTATGCGGAAGCCAAATATCTCCGTATCATCCTAGACCAGAAACTAAGCTGGAAGAGGAACATCGAGGAGAGAGCGAATAAGGGCCTAATTGCACTTTATTCCTGCAGAAACTCCATAGGAAATAGCTTGGGACTTATGCCTCACATAATCAAATGGTTATATGAGTCAGTCGTCCGACCAATTCGAACCTATGGGGGCCTTAAGGAAAACCACCGCCAGTAAAACCATTGACAAAGTCCAAAGAGTTACATCGCTACTAATTACAGGCGCGTTTAGGAGCACACGCCGTTAGGTTTGTTGAGAAACAAGCTGCTATGGCCATTTCAAATCTATGGCAGTTCTGGAATGCAGGAATGATCTGGAAAATGTTAAATCGCTTCTTAAACTCTGTTGGGTCCCTGGGTCCATGACGAAGCTGGACTTGAAGCTTCTGGTGTGCCTAATTACAAGACACTGCAACATAAAGGCCCTGACACCCGAAGGGGGGGGGGGGGGGGGTGTAGTTACGACACTGAATACTGCAGTCAGGACGAGGAAGAAACTGAGGCGATGGAGCACTTACTCTGCCACTGTCCAACTCTTATAGGAGTGAGACAGAGGTTACTGGGTAAGCAAATTCTGCCAGACTTGTCCTCCCTCCGACATCGAGCCATAATTTCCTTCTCTCTATTCTATTCTCCTATTTTCTTAAATAAGGATAATGGACCAATAGGTCTCCGAGTGAAGTGGTTGTTTATACATCCTTTAACCTAACCTAACTTAGCGATTTAACAAAAGTGTATATTACAATGCAGATGAGTTTGAATTGTGGGTCCATTAATAAACAAAATTATTTATAATTTATGTGTTTGTTTTCTCTTTCGAGACGAGCTTAATGATCTGAAATTTGCAGTGAAAAGGAAAGCCAGATAGACACTATCACACACTCACCACTATGCGACGCGTTTCGCCGTTGGTTTTTTATATTTATTTATATTTAACTTTTATTTGTAGCAGTAATACATTCACAAATGTAAAAAATCATTTAGTCTATAAATTTTAATATGGATTTGCTTTATTGGATTTCGATTTTTTAGCTTTCAGTTTGCTTGATCCCGAACTATTAGTAGCCATATGCGAATCCGGTGTCCATATTGTGACAATACTTCCCTCGCCAGCAGTTATGAGTACATTTGTATTAGCATCGTAAACACTTTCTCGTACGATCTGTTTGTTACCATCCAAATTGGCAAATGGTAATAGTTTCTTATTTTGATAAGTTAGCGAGCGCATAATTTCACTGGAATAGAAAATGTTTTCAATATTGCAACACATTGTAGGACAAGTTTTTTAACTTACCCCTTATTTAGGTTTGAACCTGTCAACAATAAAATTCCACCATCTGATGTGCTATGGGCATCGATGAGATTGCAATTGGCCGGACTCTTGCGCTTAATAATCTCCGTAATGTTATCCCTTTCGAATTCAGCCAACAAATCGCCCTCCTCTGATTCGTATACTTTAAAATCATTGGTATGTGTAATGCAGGATAACATGTCCTTTTCATATACGTTTTTATGCCTAAGAAAGAAAGTTAATATTAGTAAAGATTTTGGAATTTGTAAATTATTGATTATTATTTTAATATGGGATAAAGAAAAACTGCAAAGGCCATCAGCTTATAATCTTTTCCTTATGATCGCTTTACTGCTGACCTAGCAAGTAAATTTACATTGTATGTTTTTCTTAATAATAATTTCCGTTTGGAGGATAAACTAAATATAAACTTCCAATATCCTTACCAATTAATTTTATGCACACTACTCTCAGTGTTTATGGTTATGTTTAAGGCATCCTCCTCGCTAGCTTCTCTCAGGTCAAATGTGTTAATTAGGCCATCAGTTGAACCAGATGCCAGAATATCGGGGTTTTGTGGATGAAAGCGCAATGTGGTAACGTCACTTTGATGACAATCGAAATAGTCACCCATATGCTTCCGTTCCCTTAGATCGTAGAATACTAAGTACACGTTTGAGTGTAGCTCCTCGGTACCCGTACACAATAATCGGCTATTTGCATTACGATCAAAGCAGCATATATTTTTAGGTGCTGGTTGTGTTCCAATTATGGCATCATTTTCAAAACGTGCTTGCTCCTTCTGGGTTCTTAAATCAAAAAGTCTAACTATACCATTTGTTGTACCCACAAGTACCGCATTTGGGGTCTCATCAAAAAAGCGAACATCGCAAACTTTGATATTATTTTTAACATCCGGCAAAGCTGGGAGATCTAAGAACAGGGATAGGCCTCTTTCGGAACTAACATCGAGGATATGTACGGACGTGTCAGTTAAACCGGCTGCCAAACGCGTTAGTGAGCTAAAATCGGGAAATATTAGTTCATAGGGTGCTATAGCCAGTAACGGTTCCATGTACATACCTGTCTTTTTCTAAACTAAGGATATATTCTTTTTTCAGTGACAAAGCCGTTTCATCGAATAGTCTAAATTTCTGCGGATAGTGCTGTTCCAACTCGAAAGGTGTACATGTATCGCAGTCGTCCAAGACATCCTCTTCGGAATCGCTGCTAGCAGGCAGTGGAACATTGTCATCTGAAATGTATGATTGGAAAATGCGTTATTAATGTATATTATTATATTAAAATAATATTTTACCGTCCAACATCGTAACTTGTTACTTTTTTCTAGAAACCGAAATGTAAACAATGCCCTGGAATGAAAACAAAGCTCAACACGTGCGTCAAGATAGACATTCAATGCTATGAAGACAATAGGTTTGTCTTTCTAATCGATTTCCATTAACATTAAAGATTTGGGGCCCAATCCACCTATACTGAATTATGTTTCTAATTATATATTTGTAAAGTAGTCAACTTTATCAAAGTATCAGATGGAGAAGAAAAAAGGTATTTTCTTTTTTGATTGTAATGCGGAGTAAATGCTGATGCAAATAATAAAATGACAAACACTCTTTCTGGCTGCTATCAAGTCTACTTTTTTTACATGTGGCAACTCCATTAAAACATTTTTGACATTTAGAAAATATGCATTTGTGAAATTTGTTTGTTGTGTGCGCCAAATTGTCTAAAGAGTATTTTTGGAAATTAATAAATGTAAATTAATAAGTGTCTCAAATTCGGAACTTAAAATCATATCTTTCCCAAAATCTAAAGATTTATTGACGTTATTTCCCCAAGATGTCGTTTTTTGGAGCCAACAATTCGTTGGGTGCAACTAGCACCCCGGCTAAACGTTAGTGTGATCCGTTGTTTATTTGTTGTTTTTGATGAGAATACAAGTTATTACTATTTTAGCTACTGGATTATTTTCCTCCTTTGGTACTGGAACAGGTACGGGCACAACATCGGCTTTTGGTACTACATCGGCTCCCACACTTGGTGGGTTTGGTGGTTTCGGTTCGACGACAACAAGCACGACCACAGCACCGACTTTAGGAGGATTCGGAACATTTGGTACAGCTAATACGGCCACTTCATCTGCTCCCAGTTTATTTGGCGCTGCTAATACAGCTACATCAACTGGTTTTGGTGGTTTTGGAGCAACAGCTGCTACCTCGCAAGCGCCAACGTTCGGTGGGTTTGGTACATCTACGGGTAATACAGCAGGTGGATTTGGTGGCTTCGGAGCGACATCTACCACATCCACAGCTCCGTTTGGAGGTTTTGGCACTCAGACATCAACTGGAGGATTTGGATCCTTTGGAACAAGTAAGGCAAAAAATGGTGTCAAGGCTATCATTTGCGTGTGATGCTTTCAAGAACAATCTGATTTAATACGTTTCAAACATAAATATTTTGCAGCGTTTGGGAAACCAGCCACAAATACAACAGTCACACCAGGTTTTGGTGGATTCGGGGGTAACACCGGCTTTATGATGGGTCAACAGCAGCAGCAACCTCCTCCCATCTCCGCGGATGAAGCTTTCGCTCAATCTATTTTCAATGTTTCCATTTATGGCGATGAACGGGACACAATCATCGCTAAATGGAATTACTTGCAAGCAATGTGGGGTATTGGTAAATCATTTTATTCACAAAATGCAGCACCGGTTGACATTACACCTCAAAACTATTTATGTCGGCTAAAAGCTATGGGCTACAGTCGCTTGCCAGGAAAGGACAATAAAATGGGACTAGTTGCACTGAATTTCAATAAACCCCTCGCCGATATAAAAGCTCAACAGCAACAGATAATCACTACATTGAATGGGGTTTTTGGTAATCGACCCAATTTACAAATAAACATAGAGTCAAGTAAGGAATGTGATGAAAAGAAAAGTCAACTTGTTATTTATGTTGAGGAGAGATCACAATTGGCACCCAACGATACAAAACGTATTTTGGCCACTGATTTGGCAAACTATCTAAATCAGGCCAATGTCAAGGGACAGCTAAATAATTTGGGTGTTTCGGAAGTCTTGGCTTTGGTATTGCCTGATGAAGATCAACTAAAGGAATACCTTGAGAATCCACCTAAAGGTGTTGATCCTCGCATGTGGCGACAAGCCAAGCTTGATAATCCCGATCCCACAAAATTCATACCGGTTCCAATGATTGGTTTCAATGATTTAAAATGGCGTATAAAGTGCCAAGAAAATGAAACTCAAACCCATACCTTGTATCTGCGTAAAGTCGAAAATGATTTAGCCGAGTTAAGACAAAGACATACAGCAGCAACTGCAAAAATAATGGAATACAAACGTAAATTGGCCGAATTAAGTCATAAAATATTGAAGGTGTGTATTTTTGGTATCCATATCTCTAACAAGAATATCACTTTAATAATTTTCGTTTTTTTCAGATTATTGTCAAACAAGAATGCACACGTAAGGTTGGTTTGGCCCTGACGCCAGAGGAAGAAAATTTACGCTCCAAATTAGAAAATATGCAAGCTCTTATATCGGCTCCCACACAATTTAAGGTATGCTATGATTATTCTCGTTGAAAATATCTGGTAATATTTTCTTTTTAATTTCTAACAGGGTCGTCTCAGTGAATTGTTGTCTCAGATGCGTATGCAACGGAATCAGTATGCCCTAACTGGTGGTAGTGAATATACCATCGATAAAGATTGTGAGGAAGAAATGAAATCCTTTTTGAGCATGCAACAAAAAGCAATGGAAGTTCTTACCGATACTGTAACGAAAGACTTGAAAGCTCTACAAATTATTATTGACGGAATGCCAGAATTGGTTCGAGGTTGATACCGTTTTTTCTGTTTTATTTATTTAGGTTTGTTATAAGAGTTTTTTGAAAAAGTAAATTCGAAATTTTTATGAAAAAAATAAATTGAAAATTACTTTCATATAAGAGTATGATGTTATACAATTTATTCCAAGTAAAAACTGGCCATTTCATTCGAAAAAGTAATAGACGGATTACGTTGACATGAAATAGAAAATTGAATTACGACATAGGGTGCAGATTAAATTGCCTTCAGTTTTCGTTCCTTCAGGATTCTAAAGATTAGCTACACAGACGAGAATTGTAATATACATAACAAAATACATTTTAAGTATATACCTTAATATGTACTTGAATAGTATGAACTGAATTTTTTGTTCAATTTTTCATGAATCAAATTTACCCTAATTTTACTATTTCTTCCCGTAAATTTAAAAAAAATCAAGCAATATAACACATTTGCACCAATTTTACAAAATTTCCTAGTTGACTTGTGAAGTTGTTATGCTTCATGTCTAACTTTGAACTTGTCTTACTAAAAACAAAAGGAAAAATAACATACAATGATAGGAAACAGAAACAGGTTCACATCCTCAACATGTAATCATACGTACAGTATCTTGTTTGATATGCTGTGACACCCATACATCTGCACTTCAGTAATGGGAATGTCAATAAACTTTTAAGTAAATGATCCAATGAAATTATTTCACTTTTCTTTGGTTGACTGAAACGGGGCTGAATGCTTGGGGTTGGGTTGACTGGCTACCTACAATTTACACACTATTAGTTTTATAATCAAATTGAACTCATTACACACATATGTTTAGGCCTACCGTATGTATTTTTGTTTTGGAAAAATCCTAAACGTATGATCCAAAACCAACAGAGGAAAACAGGTTGCGCATGCGCCTACATCTTAGCCTAAATATAATGCTCTCTTATGATGGTCTGGTTTTGTACATACATAAGTTATGTATGTCTCATATTTTTTGCTGCACCATAATACTAATATTTGTTGCAACATGCAATTTTTGTTGCATTTATGTGTATGTAAGTCTTTGTATTTCGTCGCTCAATTGTATGTACTGGGCAAGGAAAGATTTTTTTGTAACATTGAAAGTGCCACTTCTTTCTCAGCTAATGTGGAAAAATCTCACAATGAAATTTAAAACAGGTTAATTTTCCAAACGAACATGCAGAAAACAGCGCAGAAAGTCGTAATGTCTCTGCTAATACCCTATAGATGGTAATTTTTTCAAGACAAGAGTTATGTAATGTTATATGTTGTTATAGAAAATAAATTGTCAATCAAAGAAATTAAATGATAAGGTCTTTCAGTCAATATAGATTTAAATATATCCCCAAAAAATAGCTTTAGAATTGATCTGAATAAGTCTGATCGGTAGGTCTGATCTAAGAATCGTGGTAAGAATACAGATTGACCACAGCAGTATATGACTTCAAGATGGGGTTACAGTGTTCCTGATTACTGTAGACTATGTTATCCAACAAAAGGGGTAGTCTATTAGACATAGATTCCATCCTCATTTACAAGTTTGCCAAAAGCATACCCTGGCTGGGCAAGCCGCCCTGATATCTGTACTTCTCTATATAAACCCTTTCTCCTCCTTCTAGATTCGTTATCTCTCCTATCCCTAACAACTTTAATCTTCCAATGATGAACACAATGGGCCAAAGTTTTCCGAGTGAAGCAGTTGCCGAGTCATATGTCTTTAAACCAAACCAAATTTAGCATTTTGAACATACGTCGTTTTTCCTATCACCTGTTGATTAAATTCTCAAAATGTTAAGACCCTAAGAATTTAACACTAATTAACAAAAAAAATTAGAGAAGCAGTTAATTGCTCGCTACCACTTTGCTTTTAATATTTTGTTGTTTTTAAATAAAAATAAAGAAAATCAAACATTTAAAAAACGGATATACAATTTTTTTCTTTCATATCGATAGGTATACCCTCACGTGAACATTCCACATACAGCTGACCATGAGAAAAGCAGGAAAATGCTAAATTTTGTTCGCGTGCATGAGGAGTTTGTCTTTGCGGTTTATTAATTGTCATAGCAAATGCCAACCGTACAAGAAACTTGGTGCATCAAATACACGATATCAGGAGAAAAATTTATAAATGAAGTACATCCCAATCTGTTCCAATTTCAATAAAATTTTACAAATTTATTTACAGATCGCATTTGGCAGAAAATGACAGGGTGAGAAGAAAAAACTGGAACCAATTTCAGATTGCTGTCATTTCTAAGCCACTCGTCAGTAACAGCCCATTATATTGTTTACAAGCGTACAAAAGCATTTTGGTGAGAATTTTCCAGAAAAAATGTTATTCGTGATGGAATTCAAGCGTGATAGTGTGATTTTTTATATTTGGCTGGAAAAACACAAGTGGCTATCGTTAGAGCACTCCAGCATTTAAATATGAATAAATCGTTTGTGTCTCGTACCATCACTGGTTATCGTGATACTGGTAGCGTAGCCCGACGTCAAGGAACTGGACGGAAGAAATGGTTCGAAAAGTAAAGAAGCGACTTGATCGAAACCCGCGTTCCAGTGGCCGAAAAATGGCTCGTGAGCTGAACTCAAGCGCAGGCCATGGTGATGGTGTGGGCCGCCATAACAGCCGATGGTAAAATACCGCAGAGCAACATTCGGGCAGCTTGTGACGGTTTCATTGGCCGTTTAAAGGCCATAATTCGTGCCCAATTCGAACAAATCTAAACTTATTCTAAAATTTGAAAAAAATGTAAAAATTATGACGTTTGACTTTCTGCAGTTTTTTTATCTCACCCTGTGTAGCCCATGGTACTATAAACTCAAGGTAGGGCTATGATTTTATTTTTTTTTTACTTTCTTGGCTTAATAGGTCAACATTTTTTCTTTAGGTGTGTGTATTCTTTTCAATAATAAGAAAATTTTCAGAAATTCAAATTCTTGTGTTTTCAAAATGTTTATTGCAACGTATGGTTCGAAAAAAATCAGCAGTTTTTGTAGCGAAATTAAACTTTAGAGATATATAGAATATGATTTTGAAATGAAATGTTGACCTTTCATTCATTTTCTCTGTTTTCAATCAAAACTTCATTGGAACTTAACCCAATTAAATACGAGCTTAAAAAGGTGAAATATTTCCTGATAAATATTTCACAATATTCTTGTCCTAATTATTTAACCTGGAAAGTTGTCATTTTTCTGAGAGTATTGAATGCAATTAATTAAAATTTAAAAACAACTGGAAATCTTAAATATTGATATAGGGTATCCTACAATCACCTACAGTTCACTTCAGCCACTATTTACCTGTTTTTCAATGCATTGTTTTTCTCCAAGCATCCCGAAGTAATGATATCTATGTTGGAGGTATGCGTGTGTGAGTTTGTGTGCTTTTAAACGAAGACTTCCGAGCTTCCGTTTAAACATCATTATGATGGCACATAGCATTTTGTGGTATAAATGTGGCTGTGGTTTGCATCTAGATTTACTACAGCAGTGACCAGCGGAGTTAAACGTGGATTACATAAAACGAACGCAACATCGACAGAGATAAAGAAGGAAAGCAATTCCAAAAATGTTTTTCAAAGTTTTTTTAGTGAGTGACAAATATTATAAGTGTAACTAGAAAACAATTAACTAAATGTGTTTTTATTTTAAGGTGTTCTTTATCGCGTATGTGGGTATTTTAGAAGGTACGCCACCTCCATCGCGTAGTAATAAAAATCCTCAAAAGGAAGATTTACATCCAATGCATTCACATATGATAACGATAGAACGTTTGGAGGCACTTTTAAGGAGGGCAAGTGAAATATTCAAACCCCATCTTGATGCCAAACAAATTGATCTGCCTTCATCAGAAAGCCAACAAGTTGCAGTGCCTATGCAATATATGCAGCCGCCCAGTCAACCTTATAACTTCTATTTACCATTATTCGATTATGACGATAGTGAAGAAACCCATCAAGTGAAACAACTTGATGGCAAAAGTCGTAAAATGGATATGTTTAGCCCACCTCCCAAGCCTAAAGACTCAGACTCTGTTGCTAAGAATTTTTATGATACAAAACCTAAAAAATCTCCTAAAAAATTTAATGCTGCCAACAAACACATCAACATCAAATGGCTGAATAACTATGAAAAGCAATTATCATCGCCTGGCAATAAACAAGCCATGCAAGTACCTAAAGATGTATACCTGATGAACGACGAACGCAATCGCATCAACTTTGATGACACTTTTTTCGCTGTGGATATGAAGGTTCCTGATAGAACCAATAAACTCGACAACAAACCTCAAAACGATGCGGAGCATGGTCAACATGAGGATTATCTTAATCAGGGCGAAGAGGATTTAATAGCAGCAGCTGCAATCCAAATACCACTAATTACAGATTTTACTTCCTTAAGGCGATTGTAAATTTTATGCAAAGAAAATAAAATTTAAAGTCATTTAACTTATAAAATGTACATATATACACAACTTCTTTAATGATCCAAATATATTTGTAATGTATAATATTTAGTAGAACACAAAAATTACATTTACTTTACAAATATAACAAACGAAATTATAAACAAAACACTAATTGCACGTCATATTTAATAGGCTGCCACTGGTCCAGATTTGACTTCTTCGCCTGTTAAACCTTTGCGTACTACCTTTTCAATGTCGTCTAATAAACCAGAGGCACCAAAACGAAATAGGGCAGGTTGCAACCATTGATTTCCTAAGGTTTCCTTAACCAAAGTCATCCATGTAATAGCTTCACGTACGGTGCGCACACCACCGGCTGGTTTAAGGCCAACAATATGTCCTGTTTTTCTTTGAAAGTCTTGTATAGCCCATATCATTACCAGACCAACGGGTATTGTGGCATTTACAGATTCTTTGCCGGTGGATGTTTTAATGAAATCAGCACCAGCCATCATACAAACCATAGAAGCTTTGTATACCTAAAAATAAAAAATATGTAAGTTATTCGGATTTGTTCAAGACGAATAATTTTTTAAATGAAAAACATGGACTTTATATATCTTTTAACGAATAACTTATTTTTGTATTATTAATGGAGGATTATTTTAAATCACGGTAAACCTAACACGTATGTTATATTCTGGTAGTAGAAGTTGTTTTACTTTGCATCTGTGGTGTCCTCTCAAAACGTTGAAGTTATATAAAATATGGGAAGTAAGTTCAATGACAATATTAAAATATAACATATGTGGATGGCTGTAAGTGTAACAATAAAACACATAGGTCGGAATTTTATTGTTTTTCCACTAATATGAACTATGCAAATTGCGGTGTATTTTATATGCAATCCCCTTTCTCTGTGACATGTCCTGCGCTTTTCTATTACGGAAACGAAATGTCCTTAAATTACTTGCACTTATGTATTCGCTATTGATAAAAAAAAAAATGGAAAAAATATGTATAATTGCATAGGCACTTACATTTTCCATAGATCCCAATTCTCCTATGGCCAAAATAGTTTTTAAATGAGCCTTATCCCCACAGGCCTTACGCATTTCACACACTTCATCGTATAGCTTCTTCCATTGTCCCGTCAATGCCAATTGACGATTTATGACAATATCAATTTCCTTGGCACCCGATTCAATAGCAAATGTTATTTCCTCTAAGCGCGTTTTCAAGCCATACTGGCCGGTGGGGAAACCTGTTGCTACAGCTGCAATTGGTACATTCGCTTTCAATTGTTCAAAACAACGTTGGGCGTCCGCAACTCTTGCTGGATAAACACATACAGCTCCAGTGTGGATTTGTTTTAATAAACTGGGCTCCACACAATTCTCCAATAAATGCAAAGGGAATGGATAGGCAGCTCTATGACAAAGTCGTCGTACATTAGCCTCAGTATCATCACCGGCCAACGTGGTAAGATCGGTAAGTGTTAGTGCCTTCAGTGCCCAGACCACCTCATTGAGACCACTTACTTTACCACGCGATGAAATTTCTTTAGAGATTTCTTCGAGTTGCCTCAAGGAAATTGTCACCTTCAATAGTTCAGCGTCTGCAATGTTTTGTTTATATTTTGATTTAGTGACAATACATACATATGTTCCTTACACCTATGGAAGAAACTTTTACTCACCGAAGGGAAGAATTGCATTTACTTTCATTTTGTTCCAATGTTTTTTCCTAATTTTCAACTAAAGAACTATGAACTAAAAATATTATATTTTGATCAGAAGAAATGTGGCCAGTCTAATAGGTTGACAATAAAAACACACACGCATTATCGGTATGTTTGTATGTATGTGTGGGTGTGAAGTGATCTTATCACATAGTGTAATAAACAGGGTAAAGACTTTTCATTTTGATAGTAAAAACTTTAAGGCCGATTTTTACATCTTTCCGATAGACAAAAAATATTATGGTGCAGGACAAATAAGTCGTTTTTCGTTATAACATGTTTCAATTATATATGAACTGCCCGATAAGCAAAAGGTCGGACTATCTTCCTTATATCTTTTAACGTAACATTTACTGAATTCATGTGACCACACTTTATGTTGATATAATGGCAATGAACTGCTTTCCATATGATTATCCATTTTCGAATAGACTCTTTTTGCAGAAGTACAAACAAATCACAGGAACGAATTCGGTACGAAAGTGATTTCAATTTGGTATTTAGCCTCTTCAAAAATCGTAAAACGCAAGATTTTTTCAGTTTGAAACCATTTTTGTTTTTGCAAATGAAATTGTATTTTTATGGAAACTTGTGACTTCAAAACACTTTTAAGTAATAACAAAGTTGTCTTGATGACAAATTCACAATTAAATTTACATCTATATATATAAATGTAAGTTGTGTTAGTTACTACGCTTATAACTCAAGAACCGCTGATCTGATTTTAACGATTCATACAAATTCTGAATTGTCTCTTTTCCGAAAAGGATAATATTCAAAAAAATCGCGTAAAAATGTGATATATTAACATTTTCATTTTGACTTCTGAAATGTACAATCGTAATGTTTTATTTTGTATGTTTTTTTTTTTTTTTTTTTCTATTTTGACTTACTTTTTTCGAATGTACATTTGTAGTGTTTTTTATAATATTTTTTTTCTTTTTGATTCGAATATTAATACCAATTTATTTTGACTCGATTTCTTGAGAACTGAAATAGAAGCCGGGTTACATTGAAGTGTAGTACCAAATTATGTGGTGGCGAAACGAAATAGATGTTATCGAAATAATTTAACGCGGTCACACCAAATTTAAGTCAAAATTTCTAAAAATCTTGAAAAAAGAGATCTCATTGCAAAAATTCTCAAATCGGGGAAAAAATTACATAAGGTATAACTAAAGAACGGCTTGACAATTCATACAATTTTGGAATGGTATCCAATAAAAATATTAATAAAAAATTTCTTTTTGGTGTGATTTTTTTCAATTTGACATACTATATTGAAGTGAACATTTTTTATTGCCTTGAAATCTGAATGAATAATATTAAAAATAAAATGAGTGACCTACGTGGACCTACATCTTTCATATGGCAATAATCCGCCCAATGAGAACTAAAAATGCAATTCATTGGAACTGCAGTCAGTGAAATACCGAATATAAAGGGTGCAAAATGGTAGGGCGAATTGGACATTTAGGAAAAAAGAAAGAAATTCTTCCTAAACTTTCAAGATGTCTTAAATCGCTTTTGCAGGTCATGATATATGACCCCCGGATAAGGGTACAACCCTATTTCAAGTATTGTTTACATTTTAACCACTTTTTTCTCACACTCATTTTAATTTGATAAGATACCATCCTCGCATAATATGATCATGTTTTGGTATAACCATCATATAATTTAAGCCGTGTTCGGGGTCTTCGACATTTTTTTCATTTTTAGGCCTTTATTTGGCATCTTTGTTTCTAAGGGTGTAAAAAACCTCTTCTCATAATATTTTCAATTTTCGGAGTAGAGTCCATCTTGGTCTTGACCACATTCATCAATTGATTTGGCTAAAAAATTGTATTTAGGCAACTCTGGGGTAGAGAATCGTCCCTCAGATAATTGTCCACATAGGCATTTATTCGAGTATAGTTCTCACATTAGTGTACCCACAAATCCGCTTTCCTAACCAATGTTTGGTCAGAAAAGAAAATTTGATATACTATTGAATTTGAAACTCCCAAGAGAATATTGGTTGGGAACGAAGATGTGGGATTAACATCTACATGCCATAAACTCCAAAATATCAAATTGTGGCAGAAACATGAAAAAATCACGAATATTAATTTTTTGTTCGTTATTGAATTATACTATGATGAAAAATATGGACTTTATGTGTTCTCCAACTCACAATTTAAATGACAAAAATAAATTAATTAATATTTCACGGTAATGGGTGTAAAAAAGCAATTATCTTTGACTATTTTGAAATCATTTCGCCCTCAATTATGAGGTGGACAAAACTAAATACCACGCAGCACGGTATTCTTAACATTGGAAATTATTATAGAAGTTCTATATCATACAGGTTTTTAACACTCAATTATAGCCTTAGGCTGAAAAATAAGATCAGGCTATTCAAAATATCTAAAACCGACGGTAGATTATTATCTATTATAATTTTTCCCATGAATGTTTATTTCTATTTAGAAATTACTATGGAGTTATTTTACTTATAATAAAAATTGTGCCGCTTTCATAATTCTATAATGCTTAAAAAATATGCATTAAAGACTAAAAGTAGGGGCCGGCAACGCGGACCGGGCAAAAAATTAAACTATCTTAATATATGTAAAATATGTATTGTGGAATGCTGTTTAATCAATTAATCATTAATTAATATTTTAGGGGCAGGCACAGGGATTCAGCACAAGAAAAAATTGTAAGAGCCATAGATTTTAGAGGAGCTATGTCGAAAGTGATCGAGTGGTTGCAGAATCAAGTTTGTCACTGCTTACCGAAAAACAAAATTCCTCGTAACCACCCACCAAAGATGGCAATGGGTGGAAAAAGACATGGTGTGACTGGACAGTATACGTTAACAAGTAAAAAGCTGTAATTTCTGCCGGGGCGAACTTTGAATACCCTACACAATTTGGAACAAATTTGGTAATTTTCACAAAAAAAAAAGGATTAAAAGCAGTAAGTTTGGCCGGGCCGAACTTTGAACACCATTTGGAACGAATTTGGAAATTTTCAAAAAAATAAAATCTCTAAAAAATTCTGTTATAATTTTAAAAATACCGAATATAGCCGTTATATTGGGGTATATATGACGTGAAGCTACATACGCATTGTTTGTCATAAGCCACTACCATATTCAAATTCGAAACTTGAAATAAACGGTGAGCAATGTAGCTTAAATCATCAAAATATCGTATATAGGGAGGTACCGTTATATCGGAGCTGTGCGAAGTCCTGGACCAACATAGACAATTTTCTGTCACAGGCTATAGCATCCATAACGAACGTCAAATACGACATCTCAAACAATTTCGGTGGCTATTGTACATAAACCGAATATAGGGAGGTACTGTTATATGGGGCCTATACGAAGACCTGGGCCTGCATAGACAATTTTCTGTCACAGACTGTAGTTCCCATTACGAACTCTAAATACGTAATTTGAAACAATTCCGGTGAATAATGTCGCTAAAATCATCAAAATACCGATTATTGGGAGGTACCGCTATATGGGGGCTATACGAAAACGTGGACCTACATGGCCCATTTGCGAACTTGACCTGCCTACTGGAAAAATAAACAAAGACATAGAAGGTCTTTGAAATAAACACGTGTACAAAATTTTAGTCTTTAGTCTTTTAGTCTCCGCGGAACACATCAAATCTATTTTCCTTTTATTGCTCATATTTTTATTTTATTGTCAATTTCCTTTTTATTTATAAAACTTGTGAAATTGGTGGTTGTTCCTTTCGTTTAATTTTTTTTAATGGGGGACAAATTGGTTTGTTTTGACAAATCAGCTGATTAATTGCAAGCTTCTGCAGGAATACCGTCTGTTTACTTTTCGCAATTTCCTTGGAAAAGAGAATAAAACCATAGACAAATAAAGATATAGACAACGAAAAGTTAGTTTTGTCTTTTTTTTTCCAGATGGCTCTCAGCATGTTTTGCATACTCAACATGCTGATTTACGCGTTCAAGCCACTCGACTTCGAAAACACATTTTATCGCATTTCAAGAATTCCACTGGAATATTCCCATATTTTTCGATGTCATCACGTACTTTTACATTTCTTTTATTATGAAATAATTTTCAACTGACAAATATCCTACAGTTTTTGTTATTTTTAACATTTTTGAATTGAGTGACTTCAAAATTCCCACTCAAACCCCTGAAACGATATGGACGACATCTGCTGATCCGATTTTTTTCGAAGATAAACGGTGAGAGCATTTCGTTGTCTATATTTTCATTTGTCTATGATAAAACTACCTTACTCTCTCAGAAAGATGTTGCTGGACAATTCCTGCAGGAAAAGTAACCAGACACACCTATTGTTTTGAATTTTCTGTCAAATTGGTTTTGGGAGAATATTTAGTTTTATTCGAGCAGTCGATGAGGATGGTGCTGTCGGCAGTGTTGCCAACATTTTGAGAGCTAGAAGCGTAATTAAAAACCAGAAAAGCGTAAATGGCGTAAAAACTTTCCTTATGTATTTTTTTCTAACCAAAATACTAAAATTGTCAATAAAACACTTTTTTATACTCTCCACCTTGGAAAGGAGTGTATATTAACTTTGTTTTTCCGTTTATAACGACCCTAAATATTCGCCGTAGACACCTAATGTGTATTTAACGATGTCCGTCTGTCTGTTGAAATCACCATACAGGCCACATTATTTGACGTAGAGCGTCAAAATTTAGCAGAATACTTTGTATTGTGTCTAGGATGGTTGGTAATGAATATGAGATATATCGGTCTACGTTTTGCTTTAATCCCCATATAACGGTACCTCCCGATATTTGCCACATTTTTTCACGGAATTATCTGAAAATTGGTATTTGTAGGTCATACTGGGTCTTCGTTCGTATGGCGAAACATTGCATGTATACGTCCACGCTTTGGTATTTAAAATTAAAATCCATTAAAAAATTGTTATAAAAATACCCATTAATGGAAGGTGACGATATATGGAAGATATACGATATTGTGGACCTATATGGACAATTCTGTTTCAGGGTGTAAAATACTCACTCACAAAATACTTGTGTAAAATTTCAGACAATTCCATTGAAAAAAATGTGCCATCTATGAACTTACATTTTTTTTCTCGTTCATTTTTCTTTTCCTTCAATTGATTTATAATACACAAAATTCATCGTTTTATTTTAGTTTATTAAAAAAGAGTTACATGTAAACAAAAGAACTTCATGAGAGACAAGTAAAGAATTTGCAGTAAAAAACTTGTGTAAGTAGATGCCATACTATCAAAATATTCGAATGTATAAACATTGTCACATTTTAAAATCTAAAAACCGCTAAAAGCACCAACAGAAGAGATGAAAAGCGTACGTACAGTGCTTTTTTTCCGTTTCGCGCTATGCCCACTATTTTGGCGTTTTGGGGGGTCTAAAAAGCACCATAAATAGCGCGAAAAGCACTAAGTTGGCATCGCTGGCTGTCGGATATTTCTATGAATACACCGTAAGAAATATTGAGCACATAAATATATCTTACTACATATTTGAAACAAATATTTTCAAAATTGTAAAAATTACAACTGATAAGATTTATTTTTGATTGATTCCTGTTTGATAGAATTTGTATAAGGATTCACATGTTATGAGTAGGAATTCATTTCATATTGACCGACAAATTAATCGTCCTTCTAAACTACTAGACATTTTGATATCCTCCGATTTCTATGGAATGACATTCTTAGTCAATTTTAGGAAAAATGAATTTGTAATTCATAAAAATAATCTTTTAGAACCCAACGCTGGATATGATTTTCTGATCAGCATAAAATTCTACGACTATTTGCCAGCCTGTGGAAATCGGTATTACGTTTTAAAGGGTCAACTTAGATGGTTAGCATGTTATGTCCGAAATTATTAAACAAAAATAACATCAAGATTTTATAAAAAATTCTGAAAATGTCAACTTATATATTTTTTAATTTTAAAATGAATCATAATTGAAATAATTATACAAATATATCTCCGAATTATCTGTCAAAATATTAATTTTTTACCAACTAAGTTGTTTTGAAAACAGAAAATTTAAAGATAACAAATTATTTGTCACTCTGTAAAGTCAGGCAAAAAACACAATACAATATTTTGTTATTTCAAAACACATACAATCACAAAAAAATTCTGAGGCTGTCTGCCTTGCCCTGTTTTAAAGTCACAAGTTTTCATAAAAATACAACTTCACTTGCAAAAACAAATATGATTTCAAACCGAAAAATTGCGATTTACATTTTCTGAAGAAGCTAAATACGAAATTAAGATCACTTTCGTACTGAATTCGTTCTTGGGACATGTCTGTATATCAAGAAATGGAATTAAATCACAAAACGTCACACCGAATTTGACACTAGTTGTATAGAGTCAAATCAGCTGGGGTTTGCTGCTGCCTGTAATAATTATACCATGATGTGCGAGGAAATTATATTTGTTATATCCACTACTGTAAACGACTGAAACTGTTTGACATATTAGCCCGTTGAGTAATTTGTAACCGATTTCGGCATTCCTAACAACGGAGACACGGAAAATATCCGAATAGTTGGTGAGTTTTTATTTTCACGAATTCTTTTCGACAGTGGAAAATATTGATAGTTTCATGGACACGAATTCTTTTCGACAGTGGAATATAAAATAACACCGATGATCAACATGTAGGTATTAATATATTTCTTGGGTGAATAGTGATTTTAAAATGGATTCTCTGTCTGGTTTGTTTTATAAGGAGGATTCGAAAATCACAAACACAAAGTGACATTCTTGTTAAACGTATGAAGGAACACCCCGAAATGGTTAATGGATTTCCGAAAGGCAAGAAAAAAGAGTCTGATGAGTTTTGGAGCAAGCTTACAGTTGAACTCAATGCAAATGGACCGCCCTTTAAAGAGACCGCCACATGGAAAAAGGTAAACTACTGAAAATAGACGTACATACAAGTCTTCTTCCGTGTCAACCCTCATAAATGACCAATCACAACAAGTATGGAAATCATAAATTGGGTTTATTGCAATTTTTGGATATATTAAAAAGCCTTTTATTCTAATATAGCTATAGCTCTCAGATCAATCGAAAATTTATACCATAGATATATCTTGGCCTCCTGATTACAAATATGTACATTTTACGAGGTATTCATAACCGGTTTTTCGATTTTTTGAACCGAAAGTTCGGTATAAAATGAAAGCTTAAGAAATAGCCTTTCGAATGATGTATCATTATGCTAGATGCCGAACCCGGTTTGGGAGTTAGGTTTGGGAGTTAATTCAGATCGATCCGATAGTTATAGCTAAACTAGGATTGTTATTTTTAGTACAGGGTGAGATGAAAAAAACTGCAACCAATTTTAGACTGCTGTCATTACTAAGCCACTCGTCCGACAGCTGTTAAAATTACTCCAGTGACAGCTCATTATATTGTTTACAAGCATACAAAAGCATTTTGATGAGAATTTTCCCGAAAAAAATTATTCGTGATGGAATTCAATCGTAACAGTGTGATTTCTTAATATTTGGTTGGAAACCCACAAGAGGTCATCCTTAGAGCACTCCAGCATTTAAATGTAAATAAATCTTTTGTGTCTCGTACCATCGCTCGTGATACTGGTAGCTTAGCGCGACGTCGAGGAAGTGGACGGAAGAAAACAGCAACATCAGCAGAAAAGTAATGAAGCGACTTGAACGAAACCTGGGTCGCAGTGGCCGAAAAATGCCTCGTGAGGCCAATATTGACAAATGAGCTCGGGGTAAAGCCACTATAATTCCAAAAAGTGCAAGAACTTACACCGCAACAGAAAGAAAATAAACTCAAAGAGCTAAAGAGTTGCTTCACTTGGCCGAAAGTGGTGAACTGCCGAATTTGCTTTTCTCCGATGAGAAAACATTCGTTGTCCAGCAGTTTGTAAACATACAAAATGATCGTGTTTACTTGCCAATAAGGGCAGCTGAAAATGTGCCCTTCGTTTGGCCACCAGAACTCACGCGCCGGCTATGGTGATGGTGTGGGCCGACATAACAGGCAATGGTAGCTCTCCGCTCGTATTAATCGACCGTGGCATCAGAATAAATGCCGAATATTATCGCAAAAATATTCTGGAGGATGTATTAAAGCCTTGGGCACGCAAACATTTTGGCCGCAGACCTTTGGGCACTCCATCAGTACACAGCACCATCGCAATCAGCACGCGCCACACAAGAATGGTTACAAAATGAGGTTTCTCGCTTCATTTCCAGCGCATTAGTATCCGGAGAATTTGGTGGCCATTATGTCTGGAGTATTTTGGAAAGCATGGTTGGCACTAAAAAATGCCAAAGAGTCGATTGCCTGAAGCAAGCGCTTCGCCGGGAATGGGCCAAAATACCGCAGAGCAACATTTGGGCAGCGTGTGACGGTTTCATTGGCAGTTTGAAGGCCACAATTCGTGCCAAAGGTGACCAATTGGAACAAATCTTAACTTATTCTAAAATTTGATGCTATTTCCGACATTATTTGCTTTCATTCAATAACTTAAAAAAATTTTAAAAATTATGGTGTTTGACCTTTTCGCAGCCTTTTTATCTCACCCCGTATATAATACAGTTTTAACTTGATACTTACGTACAAAAGTTCGTATCCCCTGACTAGGCTACATACATATTTATGTGTGTTTTTCTTTCCAGACTTGGAACGACTGGAAAATATATGTACGCAAAAAGGTCTCCGTCTACAGGCACTTAATAACGACAAAGACCGAAGTAGAGCTTCTTAATTTATTAGGTATTGCAGAAAAACGTTTACCATCACCTGCGAAAAAAAATCTCGAGGAAGATGATGTGATCGATGACACCTCCTTATGTAATATAGTTTTTGGAGTCGATGATTCGAACAGTTCAACGGACAGTTGCCGTTCCAATAGCAATGAAAGTCCCTTGCCTAAACGCAAACGAGTGCCATCTTCACAGGAGAATGAAAACACCGTATTAAGTGATACTTCAATTAAAGAAGATCTGATAGGGTTTCCTTCGCGTGAATCAAGTACTTCACAAAATGCTCAAGATATCCCTAGTAAACAATCAAAGTTAGAAAATAAAACTGTCCATTGTTTTAACCGTATCTTCAGCACCTTAAATGACATTTATAAAATACAAAAAGAGACAAAAAAAGAAAATGAACGCCATCACAGAGCTATGGAGGAGTTGTTGCGAGAAAAGAATATGATCAAAATGAGGTCTTTGGAGCTACAAGAACTAAAATATAAATTTGAAATGGAAAAACAACAAGGCAATGATGTTTTGCATGGCACAAAGCGTTAATAATGCTTTGCATTCACCTAATACATTACTTGATGAATTGATATTTTAATTTTCAAAATTAATATTCCAAATGAATTTGATATGTTGTAAGAAAATGTTAACTTCATATTTTGTATGAAGATAAAATAATTGCTATATTTTAAATATTTCATAGGAATGTGAAAGCTTCTTAAAAATGCAGAAAATGAATTACAGTTGCTTAATAGTTTGAGTATTATAAAATAATAAAAAAAATTATGAAATTTTCCTATTACATGCTGTGAAAAACAAAATTGAAATATTATTGAGTTTTGTCTTTGTTAGGGCGAAAATCACATGTTTAGGACTTTATTTGCTTTAATTTGTTCTACTTAAGCTCTAAAACCTATCTTTTTCTAATAGCTCTTTTCTCTACTTTCCAAAGCACTTCCCATGTAAGCTATCCATACCAACAATGTCTGGGCTCATCAGGCCAACCAACGGCGAAATGCTTCGAACAGTGGTGAGAGTGTGATAGCGTATCTCGTTCTTTTCTTTCACTGCAAACTTTAACCCTAGAGCATTAATGTTTTTTTTTTTTTTTTTTAATTAAGACTTTTATTTGTCAATTACATTTGTAGCATTTTTCTAATTTGAAAATTGTTGATAAAATCGTCAATATAAAATTAACTATTATAAGTATATTGGAAAATCAATGAGGTTTTTCTAGAGCGTCATCGTCGTTATAATGAAACACATAAAATGTAGAACGCATAAAAACATTTTTTAACTATGGTAAGTACTAAAGAAAATTTTGTGACGTGCTTTAATACAGTTTTATTATATTTTGGAATTAAGTTGTACCCTTGATTTAGCGATGTTTGGCCCATTGTTCCCAGTATTCCTTTTGCTGCATTTCATATAAACGAGATAGGGTTCGATCAAAGGCAAACATTTCCTCCTCGCCAGTGAAAACACTTGCCGATGTATCATTCTACAAAGAGACACGGATTTGTAACTTAAATTTGACCATCTTATTTCAAATATATTTTACTTACCACTGTCAACTTTAAGTCGTCCATAAGCATGCGTTGCTCATCCGCTAACGGCTTGCCATCTGGTTTATCACTAAAATTAAACAATTGATCTAGAGGAACTTCGGCAGAAATTACGACACGTACACGATTGTCATATAGCGTATCGATGAGAGTTATAAATCTACGCATTTGTGATTTAATTAACAGTGTCATTTGAGGTACATTGTGTATCAGCACAGTATGGAAAAATTGTCCTATCTGTATATAATCACTTCCTCCCAGGGGCTAGAGTTCAAATGAAACAAATGTTTGTGAATATTGCGATTGATATAAATTAAGCATACAGATCCTTACCCGATCACATAATTCTTCAAATGTACTATCTAAAACTTGTCCACAGGTACGCTGAAATGTTAAATCACGTCCAAAGTGAGTTATGGTACGTGGTCGAATGATATCGTTTTCTTGCGAGCATAAAATTTTAAACATTCGTTCCATTTGAGCCTTTGCATCTGTTTTGGAAATACTAAAAATAAGAAGAGAAGTTAATAGATTAATGTTGGCAAATATCCTTATGTATCTTTATGTGTAAGTAGGTGTAATTCTTAATTTTCGCAATTTTAAAAAAATGCACAATATATGTAACAACTATTATCCATAAAGTAAAGATATTTTTTACCATGCACTTACACAAAATAGTTCGTATCCCCCGATTGTGCTATACGTCGATAATCCACACCACTATCTAAAGCCGAAACATTGCAACGATTAAGTAGAACTCCAATGAAAGGTATAAAATTACTGCGTTGTAAACCATTTTTATACAAATCATTAGGATGACGATTACTGGTAGCCACACACACGATGCCCTCGTTAAAGAGATGGGTAAAAAGACTTTTCAAAATCATAGCATCAGCTATGTCTGTCACTTGAAATTCATCGAAACATATCAACCACGATTCGGCGGCAATCATTTCAGCCACCGGAAGGGTGGGATCAAATGGCAACGGTTTTTCCGAATTGAAAGCACGATCTTGTGGACCACGTTCCTGTTTCACCTGATGAATGCGAGAATGCACATTAGACATGAACGAATTAAAATGTACACGTTGCTTTTTGGGAATCTGTAATGTGGAAAAACAAGTCGTTGTGTCAAGGTGTTTTGAAACAGGTTTATACCATTTTCACCTACGTCTACACAGCAGTCATAGAACATATCCATAAGTGTTGTTTTACCACCTCCGACGCTTCCATAAATATACAGCCCTTTTGGTGCAGTTTCGTTGAGCAGCTCAATTTTTGGTGCAGCTTGTTCCTTTTTTAAAAATCTTCCAAATAAACCACCTCCACCAGATGTTTGGGCTTTTACAGGAGAGGGCTTGTAATTCTTAATGGCATGATACAAATTCTCCAGGTCTTGTGTGGTGGCCTTCTGAACTTTATCGGGCAACAATTTTTTAGATTCAATTCTCTTTTCATATGCTGACATGGGTGTGAGGAAACGCCTCGTTATCTTTTGACTAGGTACTGAGAACAACAGTACCTGGTGTTTGGCTTCCACCACTAGACGAACACCTACTTTGGACGACAACATCTTGGCCGTTGTCACCCTTTCTTCACCCTAACACGTAACACTAGCTCTTATATAATAAGTTTGTCGTTCAAATCCAAAATTTGGTGCTTTTGCTCTGTTCCGATATTGGATTTCGTCAACTATTTTCCACTAACATATTATATAAATACGCGGGATGCACTTCTGTGGCGAAGCGTTTTCTTTTTTTACTTTGTTGTGAATTGTTTCAAGAGCAAGGCAAATCTCTTGCCCACGGTCGGCCACGGTGAATTTTTTGTTGGCACGTCTTCGATGTTTCCTGGTTACATTTGACATTTGAATAGTTTTTGTAAACAATAACAGCTGTTGTTTATGTTTACATTTCAATCCACAGATGGGAGTGTGAAAATCTTGATATTTAACGATAAAGGTTAGTTTATACATCATGTCATGCGTATTATCGAACTTGTCATCCCTAATGGTTGTCAAAGAGTTTTCTTGCTACAATTTTTATCGTTCTGTCAAACCAATTTTGAAATTGAAAATTTTAAATGAAAATTTATTTGAATTCGTTAAAATTGAATTGAAATTTTTGACATATCACTGTTCCCAAGCTTTGATGCATCTACCTGTATTCTTCTACCATAATTGTTATGTTAAAATTTTTGAATTTTGACAAGGATACTTGTCGGTAGATTTGAAGATATGAACCAGGCGTATTTGGGCAATACGAGTGTAAAAAATATTTTAACATAGTGGACAAGGTGAATATTTGTGTATGTTACGTTGAAATTTAGGTAAGTCTGCAATAAAAAAAAAATAAAAATCAATGAATAAAAAATCGTACTTTCGGGTGCGCATTGCAGATATTAACATGGTAAAAGAATACAGGTAGTCGCATCGTTACAGCTGCTGGGACAATGAACTGTCAAACAGATTTTGAAATTGGAAAAGTTGAATGAAAAATTATTGAAATTTGTAAAAATAGAAAAATACACCTCCGATCTGTGTCATATAAAACATATAAAAATCTACTTATTTTTGACAAAACATTTTACAATTTTTGACATATCAATGTTCCCATGCGTTGATGCATCTACCTGTATTCTTCTACCATTGATATTAACCTGTTTTGCCATGGAACAAAGAAAATCTAGACACATTATTCGTCTCTTATGCTTTTTAATCGATTTCATAAATGAGGGAAAATATGAAATAAATGAAAGCAACTTGTTGCATTTCAGTTGGGATAATTCTGATAGGAAATGTGTATAGCTTCTGGGATGTAATACTGTAGTTTTATAAACTTGATGAAGTTGTTAGTATAATAAGGGAAATCATAAAATATAATTTTAATTGGTTAATGTTACTGTCATGGCAAAAGTAAAATAATACAGGTAACAGCAGGTGTTACGTACCAGTTGATTACAATTTTTCTAAGTGGGCCGACTTTTGCCAATTTTGTGTATGTATTTATTGTTTTTAAAAATAAAAACAAAATATTTTCAAAATCAGTGATTGGAAGACGCGTACTTTGCGGGACGCGCATTGAAGATATTCGCCAGTTTTGCCATGTAATTGAAAAATCGAACTATTTAGATCATATTTTTCAAAGAAAATCCAGGCATTTCATACATATTTCGCGCTGTTTAACTGATTTTAAAAATGAGGGAAAAATATTGAATAAATGTAAACAACTTGTTTGCATGCAAATTTGACAGGAAGCGGGAATAGCCTCAGGGCTGTATTTCTGTAGTTTTACGAAGCTGTTCTACCTCCTTATTGTACCATGATAGCAATCACCTGAGTATATTTGTATATATAGTTTTGAATAACAAACAAAATAATTTCGAAAATTTTCAAATTTTGTTAAAATTATAATTCATGTTTACAGTTTTAAGAAAAATAATTTTTTGCGTTAGTTTTAAAAAGGATTGTAATCATATGAGCAAATCGATATTTACGAAGAAGTCAGGTGATGCCTTAAGTCAGTCAAAAACGCGTTGTATGTAGTCTCACTTTATTATACCCTCCAACTTTGTCTTTGTCATTCCGTTTGTAACATCCCTACATATGTTACAGTAGACCCCATAAAGTATGATAAGCATGATAAGCATAAAATTCTAAGTTTAACAGAACAATTTGTATTCTGTCTGGGATAGTTGGTATTGAAAATGAGATATATCCACGTTTTAGAATAGCCGCCACATAACGGTACCTCGGTACTTATATTCGGTATTTTAATGATTTTTAAAAATTGGTAATTGTAGGTAATAATTGGTTCTAGTTCCGGTGGCGAAATATTGTATGTATAGGTCTACGTTTTTGCATAGCCGCCATATTACGGTACCTCCCGATATTCGGTATTTTGATGATTTTTGCTATATTTTCCACTGATTTGTCTAAAAATTGGTATTTGCAGTTCATAATGGGTTCTAGCTCCGGTAGCAGAACATTAAATATTTAGGTCCACGTTTTCCTATAGTGCACATATAACGATACCGACCGATATTCGGTATTTTGATAATCCCAGTGACAGTAAATTCAAGTGGGTATGATTATTGTGTTGTTTGGGTGTTTATTATTGTGTTGTTTGGGAAATTTTCATTCTTTAGTAGAGCTACTATTTGAATAAGAAATATGCATACTAGCCCTACAGTTGATTATGATGAAATGTACATTTTTAAAAATAATCTGCGTTCGAATATTTTGAAATTTACAATCAAACCCGTATTGTACTGCGTCATCTATTCTTTTGAAATTAGCTAGGTGTTAGTGTATTGGTGCCACTTCATGTTTTTTGCCGAATATTTGCC